TGAAATCCAGATAACCATCATCTACATGGGGATATGCTATAATGCATGCTGCAAATTTAATTCGGCTTAGGCCAACGGCATATCATAAATTTTCCCCATTACAATTAATATCTGGTAAAAAAACAAATATATCACTCCTAAAAATGTTTGGTTGTTCTGTGTATGTACCAATTGCTCCACCTTATCGTACTAAAATGAGTCCTCAAAGAAGGCTGGGAATTTATTTGGTTTTAAATCACCCTCAATTATTAATTATCTAAAACCTATGACCGGTGACTTATTCACCGCGCGGTTCGATGACTGCCATTTTGATGAGACAATATTCTCAGCCTTAGGGGGAGATATTAAAGAAATGGACCCTCGTACGAAAGATATTACTTGGAATGCAACAAATTTATCTTTTCTTGATTCTCGCACAAATGCTTGTGAACAAGAAATTCAAAAGATTATTCATTTACAAAATGTTGCAAACCAATTGCCTGATGCTTTTATAGACTCAAAGAAAGTGACAAAGTCACATGTTCCAGCTATGAATACTCCTTCTCGAATAGAAATTTCTGCGGAGATTAGCGAAAGAACTCTTGCTAATGAATCTATGATACGTAAAAAACGTGGTAGACCACTTTTTATAATTCTATAAAAAGTCAAATTCTATAATTCACCGTACTCTTTATCCTCTTTATTGAAATGTATAAATAGGAAAATACAAATGATGAATTTACATGATGTGCGGCCTCTACAATTCTATCCGCTACTATTGCTCAGATGCTACGAATACAAGAGCCGTATAGGCTATAAACACGGATGGTAAAAGCTATCCTAACAATATGCAAGGTAAGTGGCTAAAGATAATATTGTACATAATTTTAATATAATACAAATAATAATAAGTTGACTGCATGTGTAGAACGCATGTTAGACGTACGTATGCATGCCGTGCATACGTAACTTATCAGGTTCAAGAGATTTGAAACCAAGAAAATTTAAACAAGTTGTGGTTTGTGATGCCAAAGAAGTTCAACCTTCTCAAGAAGAAAATGAACATTTTGAAAATATCGGCTTTGAAGATAACATCAATAATAAAGATGCCTCAAAAGAGAATCCAATCACCTTCGAAGAGGTAAATATTCCAGATAAAGATAGAAACGTCGATAATTTCGAAATTTCAATTAATTATGTTTCTAATGGAATACAATGGAATAGAAATGATATTGATGTTAATGATATATTTTCATATGTCATCGTCACAGATATAATGAATGAACACGATGACAATGAGCCTAAATCTATTGACGAATGTCGTCGTAGAAATGATTGACCAAAATGGAATAAAGCAATTCAGGTAGAATTAAATTCGCTAGAAAAGCGTAATGTTTTTCGACAAATTGTCCATACGCCAAAAGGTGTAAAACCTGTCGGTTTTAAATGGGTTTTTGTGCGTAAACGCAACGAGAAAAATTAAATCGTTAGATACAAAGCCCGACTTGTTGCCCAAGGGTTTTCTCAAATGCCAGGAATCGATTATGATGAGACGTATTCTCCAGTAGTTGATGCTACAACTTTAAGATTTTTAATTGGTATGTATGTTTTTGAAAGGCTGCAAATGCGCTAAATGGATGTGGTGAGCGCATATTTATCCGGTTCACTCGATACAGACATATATATGAGAATTCCTGGAGGCTTTAAAATACCTGATGCTTATAGCTCGAAATCTCAAAATTTATTTTCCATAAAATTGCAAAAGTCATTATATGGATTAAAACAATCTAGACGCATGTGGTATAACTGTCTCAGTGAATATTTGATTAAAGAAGGATATAAAAATGATCCTATTAGTCCACGTGTTTTCATTCAGCGATCCGAATCAGGATTCACCATAATTGCAGTATTTGTTGATTATTTAATCATTATTGAAACTCCCATTGAAATTGAAAATACTGCAAAATATCTCATGAAAGAATTTGAAATGAAAAACATTGGGAGAACAAAAATTTATCTCGTCATTCAAGAAATGGTATTTTTATTCACCAATCAAACTATACCAAGAAACTTTTGAAGCGGTTTTACATTGATAAACCACACCCGCTCAATTCTTCAATGATGTTTCGATCTCTCAATGTGAATGATGATTCTTCTGACCCTGATGAATAAATCCTTGGTTGTGAAATAATATATTTGAATGCTATTGAAGCATTAATGTATTTGACTAATAATACTTGAGTAGATGTTGCTAGCTTTTTCTATAAATTTGTTAGCCAAATATATCGCAGGTCAAATGATGTTACACCAAAAGGGATAGAACAAAGCATATGGCACCATAACTTTTCTCCACACATGATCTTGAGAAAGACGGAACGGTTGATGCCAGACAAATAAAGTCATGAGACAACCCTGCTGATTTATTCACAAAGTCATTGGCCCCCGAAGAAATTTGAAGAACTGGTCCACAAAATTGGAATGTACCGTCTTCAAGATATATGTTAAATTGAGGGGGAGTAATATAATGCACTGCACTCTTTTTCCCTTCGCCAGGATTTTTTCCAACTGGGTTTTTCCTGACAAGGTTTTTAACGAGACAGTACATTATAATACTATGAAACTAATACCCCAGAATAATTAGAAGATGACCATTCAAGGGGGAGTGTTGAAATATTATTGAATTAGTCATCTTCAAACTATTCCTGATTAGGAATTATTATCACCATTATATAAATAATCAGGAAATCACAATAATTATGATTCTAGATAATAATTGTGTGGTACACAATTATCTTCTAATCCTAAGGAGTTTAGTTTTTCTCCTATAAATAGGAGTGTTCTCCTTCATTATAAAGACACTTCTAAAACACCATGGTTACACCATTATCACACTCTCAATAACATAATCTATCACTAAGCGTTCATACTATACTTTCTCTCACTGATCTTCTGCTTATTTCCTTCCATATTATAACAGTGAATTTGATTTTTGTATTTTTCTTTGTGTGTAACAGTGTATCAAATAAGTCAAACTATCTCAAAAACGTCAACTACACAATCAATTACTGGATTTTGGAAAAACATTCAATTGAGCCAATTGGACGGTTACCATTTAGTCAATAGCTCACCTCCTAACATGGCACTCACGTGGTGGTTAGTCCAATGGTTACTTTGCTGGTGTGACGGCTCATGTGTGCGTCCATTCAACAATTAACTTCTAACGTGGCACGTGTGTGCCGTCATGTGTGCGGCCACGTCACTGGGTAACTTACTGAATCAATTGACAGGCAAATAACCTGTTAATTGGATCAATTGACAATTTTTAAATTTTCAAGGATTTAATTGAGTTTTTTTAAGAACACTTATTTATTAATAATAATAATGAAAGTGACAAGAGACAAGCAAATCAATAGCTCAGAGCTACCCTGAAGTGAGACATAAAATTGATTAGTCCATGAAGACTCATCAAGATCGCTTACCCCCCCCCCACCCTCCCGCATCATGGTAGGCCTAATCTAACCATTGTTCTAAAAATCGGCCTAGGCGGACCGATTAATCGGCCTAGGCGGCCCTAACCGTAGAGGCCGAATCGGCCTAGTCGGCCGAAAAATCGGCCTAGTCGGCCGCCTAGGCGCTAGGCGCCCCTCAACCGCCCGACTAGCGCCTAGCGAGTTTTATAACAATGAATCTAACAACATCGTTGTACTTGCTACTAAAAGAAATAGACATAAAACTAAAGTTATTCAAATGAAATAACAAAGAGTCAAATCTCATGGTTTTTCCATTTACCACTTACCAGCAAGGGAGAAGAGGTATGATCAGCCACCTCCAAAGACGTCATTCATATTTTACTAGCCATCAGAAAGGGATAAGAGGTTTGCCTAGCCACCTCCAAAGGAAGCATCCCGCTCACAAGATCTAATAGAATTCTAGGCGGTGTTGATCCAGTAGCACCGCCGCAAAACCATTTTTTGGTCCGGTTCCATCAACCTCCATACAGACCTCTAACATTTGGACTTTGACTAGATTTCCTAACTCGCGACAGTTCCGGCTCACACGGTCCATGCGAGTAGTCACCACACCCGACTCGCCGAAGATAGCGGGAAAAGAAACACCATGCAACTGAGGGGAACAAAAATGCTGAATATACTAAGAATAAAACCAGACTGAGATTATCACTTGTGGTTTTCGCTAACCTTCTCACGATGCCCTGCTGTTGCTATGATGCTATCAGCCTCAAATCCCCGCTCTTCTTCACAACATCCCCGTTCGAGACCTTGCTGGTCTCCTCACAGGTCCTACTTCTTCGATGCCACGCTTCGAACGAACGATCTTCTAGGCGGTGTTGATCCAGTAGCACCGCCGCAAAACCATTTTTTGGTCCGGTTCCATCAACCTCCATACAGACCTCTAACATTTGGACTTTGACTAGATTTCCTAACTCGCGACAGTTCCGGCTCACACGGTCCATGCGAGTAGTCACCACACCGACTCGCCGAAGATAGCGGGAAAAGAAACACCATGCAACTGAGGGGAACAAAAATGCTGAATATACTAAGAATAAAACCAGACTGAGATTATCACTTGTGGTTTTCGCTAACCTTCTCACGATGCCCTGCTGCTGCTATGATTCTATCAGCCTCAAATCCCCGCTCTTCTTCACAACATCCCCGTTCGAGACCTTGCTGGTCTCCTCACAGGTCCTACTTCTTCGATGCCACGCTTCGAACGAACAATCTTCGTCCAGAGCCGACGGCACCATTAGTGTTTTCTCCGTATATGTACTTTTCTTCTATTGCAATCTAATTATGATTATGTAATTGAGTTTTTTAAAGTACAAAAGACGTTTTAGTGATAGTACATAACTATTTGATAGATTTTCCTTTTTTGATCGAAAGTCCTCTGATTATTATGTCAATAATAATTTTGATACCCCACTTTGACTTTTTGGGATCAACTAACATATTTAAACAAATTTTGATATACTTTAAAAATACTCCGTATAGGAGAAATACACCGTATAACACTAGCGAGTGCAATGATTATGCGTGCAAACGACCACGTCACCTCTCCCCTTCCGTAACAACTCTGTTACAAATCGAGAGTAAAGAGAGATGGCGTCACCGCTATCGGTCCAACCGGACCGGACCATCATCGGCAATCGTATGTCCGGTTCATTCCGGCGCAGGTCACTCTTCCACGCAACCAATAAGATCGAGAAACTCGGCGTCGTATTCATCTCCCGCCGACGAACCTTAGACACGACCGTCCAAGCCAGCTCGAGAGCAGAAGACCCGGCTCCTTTCGAGATGTCCGTAGAGAACGCACTGAAGCTGCTGGGAGTTCAGGATGGTGCCTCCTTCGAAGATATTCTCCGTGCAAAGAAATCGATTGTTGCTGGGAGTAAAGGTGACCCAGAAACCATTATCAAGGTTTGATATCATTTTCCTTTTTGATTCTTTTTTACCGTTCTAGAAATTCTGTTTCCTGCTTTTTTCAGTTACCTTGTGTTGGAAAAGTTCACATTTTTATTCCTGCTGCGATCTTCTTTGTTTGCTTCCATTCATCATAGCAGAAGCTTCCAGGTCAGGGTCGTTTCTTAAATTAAGCTCTGATATGATTGTTTAATCCTTTATAGTTGTGTTAGCGTCTGAAACTGCACAACTTCTTTGAAAAATTGGATCAGATGTAAATGATTAACTGGACTTTTTTACTTAGTCTCCCAATTCTTAGTAATCCAGTCCTCTTTAAGACCATTTGCTTATTGCCAAAACCTGTCTGCATTCTATTTTCTTTGTGTTAGCGTATATGCATTCCTCATTTTGTGTATGTAGATCAATTGGAATTAAAGTAGTACAAAAATGGTAACACTTTAAGGTTAAGGAGTAAAAAGAATCTTTAAAAAAGATCCCCATACCGAAAGATCATATGTTTTGACACATTACATTACCCTTATATCAATGGTGATCCAGTGGCTTCATATCCTCTTATCACACTTGTTGTTCTTTAAGAACATAAAATCAGAATGGATGTGACTGTTTTTTTCTCTTCTGTTTGTTTAATTTGTGACATGTATGGATTGTTTATTATGGGCATTCTATGTTTGGAGTAATAATAATATGAAAATGGTGGTTATAGGTGGAAGCTGCATATGATATGCTGCTGATGCAGAGCTTGTCGCAGAGGAGAGCTGGAAAAGTTGTTGACAAATCTATTCGCTATGCAGATGTTAAAAAATCTGTAAATGCCTCAAGAATGAAATCAATTCCTAAGTGGTTGCAGAATGCTGTCAGGAACTCAACCGTTTCATTTGAAACACCATCTACCAGCGAGCTGGCTGTCCAAGCCGGGGTTTATGGAGCCCTGTCAGTTCTAACATACGCAAATGGAGCCTCATCTTCATCTGATGCAGCTTTTCCAGGAGGACCAGATATCCCTGGCCTGATTTTGGCCACCAGTTTTGGAGCAACCTTGTATTTCATCACCAAGAAAAATGTTACCTTGGGTAAGTTTATGGAGGCAATATATATAAAGAATAAAGATATTATATTAATAGGAAAAATACTTGGGTTTTGTGCACTAATCGGACTATCTTTATTCTCTGCCAAAAATTAAGACTTAATTCAGACATTAAAAGGGAATAACAGTGGTCAATAATTGTTTTCCTAAAAATGAAAAGTCATTTTAGGGAAAGAGATGATGTGCTTATTTTAAGAAATGTGATATGTTTTATACTTTGAGGGTGTTTGGAACTGATTCTGCTTCTTCTTCTTTTTTAAAGCAGAAGCAGAATCTGAATCAGTTTTCAAAAGCTGGCACCCCCAGCTTCTAAAAAAATTGATTCTGAGAGTAAATTAGAGCACCAGAAGTGCTTCTGGAATTTCACCCAAACACTCCATCTTCTGCTTTTGCTCCCTGAAGGAGCAGAATCAGTTTTGAGAATCAGATCCAAACACCCCCTTTTACAGTTTACTCTATGTTACAAGAACTGGCCTGGTCAGGCTGGATCGACCCAGTCACCAAACCAGGTCATAAAAATTGGGATTTAGCCAAACCCGGTTAAAACCTGCCTACACGAGCAAACCCAGATCAGAGCAGTCGGGTAGAACCCGGCCAACCTAGGTCAAACTAGTTCTGAGTTATTTTTCCTTAAGTCTCTTTGATTTAATAAAATTGCAACCCTAACCTTATAAAGTGATATATTTATGCGTCTCATTGCCAAGATTAATTTAAAGATATACAAAACAAATAAGTGAATAACCGATAATATTCTTGGTCTGAAATGATTAAATACTATATATTGGAATAATGTGTATTTGTGTCTTTTAATGGCTATCAAACATTATCATTATTTGACCGTTATAAAATGTAGTTAATGTTTTCTTTAATCTAATACGAAGTATATAATACATGTATACTTTTTTCTTTTTCATTTGCATTGGCAAGGGTGGCCTGTTAGGTCCAGCCGTCCAGGTTGACCCGTGATCCGGTCAATCCCAGTTCGGTTTTTGTAACATAGCGACATAGGTTATAGTCCTCTCTCTATGGGTTTTTCCATAAATACACTGAATAACTGATTTATTTCCCATCACTACACTAACTAAGACTGGTGGCATTTTGTTGTTATAACTTACAACAGGCAAAGCAAGTCTGGTAACAATTGGTGGGCTGGTGGCAGGGGCAATGGTGGGTTCTGCAGTTGAGAGTTGGTTGCAAGTAGATATTGTCCCATTTCTTGGCATACACAACCCTGCTACTCTCGTGGCCGAATTCATTCTTCTTTCACAATTTTTGGTTTCTTTGTATATAAAATAATAAGTGGGTGGGGGAAACACACCATTCCCCTGCTCATTTGCAGCAAGTGTGATTTTCCACTTATGCATAGAAGAGGATTAGTTGTGTATTTGCTTAAAATGTATAGCTCTGTTTGGTTGTATTACTGCAAAGTGCAAATGGCAACAACCATCTTTCTACTAATGCTGATCTAGAGAAAGGTCATGTAATCACGCTCACAGAAATTACAAGCTTGGCATAAATTACTCATGTACTGATGTACATAACTTCTAAGCTCTAAACCATGATCCTAGCGTTTGCCTCCCGCCATTAAAAAAGGAGGGTAGTGCTTGGTGTACGACTAATTTGTAGAACACACTAATTTGTACAACAAGTTTTTTGCTCACAGAGACTTATTTTTCACAAATAAGATTTTGTCTGTGTACACAAAAAAAAACTTGTTGTATAAATGTACTGTACAAATTAGTTGTACGAGAAACAGTTTTCTAAAAAATGTCAACCTTTAGCATCTTTTTCTAGCTGAGGCGTTTCCCAAGCACTTAAAACATCATTGTACATTTTCAAAGCTGCTCTTGAAAACTCGGTCATGGATTCAAAGACACTGCCAAACCCGGATTGAAACCCTCTGAGCGTGATACTCTGTGTTTCTTGCATGCATTTGTGGTGTTCTTCCCTTTCCAAAGCTACCCTCTTTCTGAAGCCATCCAACAAATCTTTCTGTTCTCTCAGAATTTGCTCCCTATGCTCCATCTCCAATTCCGAGTGTCGGTGGTCAGTGAGCTTCCTGAATTCAAAAATTTTATTCTCGGCCTTCTGGAATGCCACTGTCTTCCTCTCCACTTCCTTTGACAAGCTTTCGACCTTTCGTTTCTGTTGCTGTTCCAATCCCTGTTGGGCCCAGAGGGCCCCGACATCTTTTGCACATGATTTTAGAGCACAATAAACTGACTTGTCAGGCAAGTTATCCACTGCAGATAACCAGTCACGGCAAACAGTGAGAAGTGGGGGACCATTGGTGGAATAGTAGAAGTCAACGGCATGAGAAACAACAACAAACTTAGACAGCCAGGCATGGAGGGATTGAACATATGCTTTCTGGGCCGCAATATACGCAGTGAAGCAAGAACGCCAATTCTGAAGCTCAACCTGAAGCTGGAGGGTTGCAAGGCGGTGAGAATCATTGCAGAATTTTCCATAGGTAGGGCAGTTGAAGCTTGACACTTGGGTCATGATTTTGTCCTGAATCTCATGGGACTCCAACATGATTTTCCAAGCACTCATCATGCTGCAAACAACCAAGATAAAGAACCAAACTTAGGTTTAGTGCTAACAACTTTAAAGACATTATACTCCTGTCTCAAAATACTCCCTCCATCGGTCCATCCCTTAGAAGTTTGTCAAGTTTGTCCGACACGTAGAATAATAAAGTAAAACTGTGTAATATAGGTTTGTGCAGAGAAGAGAAAAATAACAAGAGCTACAAATTGATTGATTAAAAGCCTAAAAGGGAAAGTGATAAAGTTTTTGGGACAATCTAAAAGAAAAGTTAACAAAATTATGAAGGACAGAGGGAGTATGAGATATATCAGATAAAATAGAACATGGTATTCTAAAAATGTAGTATGGACCCACATAATGTAAAGATAGATCACGAATAAAGAGGGAAAGTCAAATTTTAGTGAAGTTCAAATTAGATAAGTTCAGAACTTTGAGACAGAAAAAAAGGATTTGTATTCAAAATGTGTAAAGCGAGTACATCTAAAACCTTATTATTACCCTTGAAGGAGTTGAATAATTTGAGGTTGAAGCTCGTTGTCTCTAAGATTCTCAATTCTTTTTGAAATTGTTTCTGCACTCCGAATAGCGACTATGATCCTGCTTTGTAATTCTTTTACTGCCCCTCCTCCTCTCTTTCCTTCTTCATCACCTATTCTGGCAGCATCTTGGTTTCTTCTTAGCTTCTTGCATTTCTTCTCGTACAATTTCCAAGTGATATCCCCATTCTACTACCACAAGGGAATATAAATCATCAAAACCAGGGTAATGTTGGAAGAAAAGAATCAGAACTACTAATAAAAACCAGCCATGAAAAGAAGAAAAATGGAAAGTCGGAAACCAAAAGAGCATATATATGCAGGGTAATGTTGGTTTACGAATTACGACCAGTTTGAACGACCATTAGTACAACAACAAAATTTCTTCACAGAGACATGGAACAAACAACACTACAAAAAATCTTTTTCACACTAAACATTTTTTTTGTTCTCACATTGTCACATGCATAAAAACACACAGAAAAAACCGTGTCTATACAAACAAAAATCATGTTTTTATGTACAAAAGAACTTGTCAAACATATCTGTTGTAACAGAACAAAAAGAACTTATACTCCGTATATGTTATATATAGTCAGTGAGTTAATCACCTTGACCTCTTCATAGAGTTTCTTCTCCCAAGCGTAGAGCCTTCCAAGCGTGAGAGAATGGCTTCCAGATCCTCCATGGTCACCAAAGACATCGTTGGTGATTTCTGTCATCCAGGTGGAGGAGCTTTTTGAAGTAGACGCCACAAGACTCCTCTTATTAGAAGAGGATGATGATGACAATGGAGAATGAGCTGCTGCTGGGGTAGGCATCCATGTGAGTGCTAGCAGTTTTGTTGTGATGTTTCCTACAGAAATATCAATCATCATGAGATGCTGCTGCTTATAGCATTTTGGTGGTCTATAACTTTTAATTAATTGCATTGGAAAGTATTCAGGGGGGGTCCCTATAATCTAACTAAAAGAAAATTGGTAAGACAAGAATATATCACAGGTTACACAAGCACTATAGTCACTATGGATATACTACCATGGTCACTGTAATCAATGTAAATATACCATCACAGTCAACAGGGAGCAAAAGTATTTTTTTGTCCATCATTTTTATTTTAGCCAAGTGTTTGTCATTATTTCAAAAAAGAATGGCACCTAATAATCATTGTATGTATCAAACATTCTCACCTGAAACTAACTAACTAACTAAAGCAATCAAATTGAACATCAAGGTTGTAACTTTGGAGGTGTATAAGAAAGACGGTTAAGAAACATAATAAAATTAATTCACTACTACCTCTCAAATCCTCCAAATTTGGTTGGGTGTGAACCCAATTAGATTCCAACAACCTGGACACTTCCTTCCCAGAATCGTATGCCCTGGTGAAATGATCCTCAATATCCTTCAATGCTTCAAGCAGCTCCCTCCCCCCATCTAATCCTTTCTCCATGTCAGTTAATTCTGTTATCCCCTTCTTATCCACCTCCTCCTCCTTCAAAACATCCACAACTCTTTCGCTCTCCCCTCCCTTTACCATCTCCTCACCCCATTTCTGTTCCACTTTCCCACTTTCTGCTCTCTCATCTTTCATTACTCTACTACAAATTTCTTCTTCTTCCTTCTCCAACTCTGGTATTCCCTCTCTCTCCCTCACCACCTTCAAATCCTCCTCCGAGATCTGGTGGTTGTACCCATAAAAAGGGTTAAAGAAATCCCAACCACCATAACCATCACCGGCGGGTATTTGTGTTGAATGCTGCAATACCTCTTCTCGAGGCATTTCCATATAAAAATACCCAGAAACTGCTGCTGCCTGCTGGGCCTTCTCCTCTTTCTTCTCGAGGTGGTATACATCCTCTCTTTCCTCATTCTCTTCTTCCTTTTCTTCTTCATCCTCTGAAGAGTGTAGGCATGACCCCAGACAGTCAGCGGCTTCTTGGGTTGGGTTTTGCTGAAGAAACATTGGGTTTGAATCAGCCTTATTTTCCTGAGGAGGGGAAGGTGGTGGTGGGAAGGTGATGAGATATGGAGAAGAAGGTGAAGTATGGCGAGCCACAAAGAGCCTGAGAGCAGCTGAGACTCCATTTAGTGCTTGGCAGTACCTATGGTGCGCATCTGCTAAGCTGTACCTTCTCTCTACAGTAAGCTTCAGTTGCTTCTTTCTTTCTCTGCATATGGATACTACCCCTTCTTCCTCTTGCTCAAACTTTGAAGAAACACACCCCATCTCTCCTCTCCCTCTTTCTTTGGGGTGAAAAATGGAAGAAAACAAAAGAGGGGTAAAAAGGTGGGTGCTTTCTTCGTCCGGAGAATGTGGGTTGAAATATACTTTAGGGATTTTCGCAAAGGTAATTTCTTTTGCCTCAAAAAAATGGAGGGATTCTTTTTCTTGATTTTGGCAACTCGGGAAACCCAGTTAGAAAATGGACTAGACCCTTTAACAGGTGCATTGGAGAAGAAGGTCACACAAGTTTCTGGCAAAAAGGAGTGCCCTGGCTATATAAGAGCAAAACAACAAGAATGCTTCTGCTAATCTGCAGGCGGTCAACTTGAATGTCAAATATATTTTCTTCTCTAGTTTTTTAATTTTTCAACAGAGAAAATGCTGTAGAAAGAGAAGACAGTATGGAAAAGGAAGGTTGGGCTCGAGGAAGAGGGAGAGTCTCGTACTCAGTAAAAACAGGACTGTACTTATTGGGTGAGCTCTTTATTTTCCCTCGCTGTCCTTGTTGTGCATATTTTTCTTCCCCAGAATCTATTGCCATAATCTAGTGTGGCTCTTTCTGGTACATTGAGCAGGGACGTGTTTATGTGGGGACAGAATAAGGGCTGTGAATTGGCCAGCGAACTTGTTCGATTTGGTTTGACCAAAATTTCAAATGAACTGCCCCGTTAAATTATTACATTCCACATTTCCACCTGTTATAATACGATAGTATATAAGTCTTGATAAATGTGAATCATTTTTAACTTTGAATGCCCCATAAATTGGCGTTGTATGTTTTGTCACTACACTAGTACTCCGTATTATTTTCAGGAGTAAAATTAATTATCGTAAGATACCCGTATGTTTTCTGTTTATATTTAGGGAAAAGGTGCCAATAGGCTCATGTACTAATAAAAAAAGATCAAATAAGTCCTTATTTAGGAGGTTCTGTCTGGCCGTCGTCATTTAGGATAGTCCCGGTAGAATTTTTTGATGAAATTTTTCGAGCATCTTATTCATTAAGTCTAGTTTACTCATACCAAATTTCAGCTAAAACTTCAATCAGGAAGGCATTCAAATGAATTCTTGAAAATAACTGCGCAGTTAGAAGCGCAATTATCTTCAAGAATTCATTTGAATGTCTTCTCGATTGAAGTTTTAGCTGAAATTTGGTATGAGTAAACTAGACTTGATGAATAAGATGCTCAAAAAATTTCATCAAAAAATTACACCGGGAACCACCCCAAATGACGACGGCCGGACAGAGCCTCCTAAATAAGGGCTTATTTGACCTTTTTTATTAGTACATGGGTCTATTTGCACCTTTTCCCTTATATTTATATATAAGAAAACAAATAACTCTTTAAAAGACAATTACACCCTTCATTGCCCTAAATATCGCTTGATCTATTAAAGTTACTCAATGAGAGTCATATAAGACATGACCGTAAGAAATAAAAATTTATGGTTTTTTTATCATCATCTCCATTATTTGATACTACCTCTGTTCTGTATGAAGGTTATTTCGACAACAATTAAATGTAATAATTCGAGTATATTTTGAGAAATAATAATGATGTGTATTGTTTTTTGGACTAAGACTTGGATGTTGTTGTTGTTGTTGTTGTTGTTGTATATGTAGGGATTTTAAGTATTATTACTACAAAGTAGAAGATAAGCTTGCTAACAATTGAGCGGGAGAACTTTCTCTCTCATATGTAGTTTTTTTATGTATAAGATTCTAGGTATTAGAAGGTATACTTGCTAAAACAATTGAGTGGGGAAATTTCTGTCTCACATTTAATGCTTTTAAATATTTCAGAAATCGACTGACGATTGAGCGGAAAAAATTTCTCTCTTATATGTAGTGTTTTTAAGTATTATACTACGGGAGATTTCAAAAATAGAAGTAAACAAAGTTTGAAATTTCAAAAATAGAACCGCTATGTTTTTCTTCCCGAAATAGGACTAAGGTGACAATATTTAGTACCATCTTTTAGTCATGGCTGCCAAATTGTTGCAGCACTATGCATTCAACATGACAGTATTTATTATAATCAATGGAAGTATTTCAATCATGCAAGTTTTTTCCAGTCATGATAGCAATGACTCTTTTTTCAGAAAGAAAAACATAGTGATCCTATTTCAGAATTCCCAAAGTTGTTTAATTACTCCTATTTAGGGCAATTCCCTTATTATTACTACGGAGTAGAAGATAAGCTTGATAATAATTGAGTGGGAGAACTTTTTCTCTCATATGTGGTCCTTTTAAGTATATAAGATATAAGATATGAGATATGAGATATAAGATATAAGATATAAGATAAGCTGACTAATAATTGAGCGGGAGAATTTTATCTCCCATATGTAGTGGTCTTAGGTATAAGAAGGGTAAACTTGCTAACAATTGAGCGAGAAAATTTCTCTCTCATATGTAGTGATTTTAAGTATTATAAGATAAACTTGCTAACAGTTGAGCGGAGAAATTGTATTGAGCAGTACAATTTTTCTCTCATATGTAGTGCATTTAGATATGAGAGATAAACTTTCTCACAGTTGAGCGGGGAAATTGTATTGAGCAGTATAATTTTTCTGTCATATGTAGTGATTTTAGGTATAAGAAGATAAATTTGGTAACAATTGAGCGGAAGAAATTTCTTTCTCATATGTAGTTCTTTTAAGTATAAGGTAAGTCGACTAGCAATTGAGTAGAAGAATTTTGTCTCTGATATGTAATGTTTTTAGTTATAAGATAAGTCGGCTAACAATTAAGCGTTATAATCTTCTCTCATATGTAATGGTTTTAGGTATAAGAAGTTAAGTTTGCTAATAATTGAGCGGAATAATTTATTCTCTTACATGTAGTGCTTCTAGGTATTACCAGATAAGCTTACTAACAATTGAGCGGGAGAATTTTTTCTCTCATATGTAATCCTTTTAAGTATTACAAGATTAGAAAACAAGTTTACTAACAGTTGATAGAAAGATCTTTCTTTCTCAAATGTAGTTCTTTTAAGTATTACATATAAGATAGGTCAGCTCACAATTGAACGAGGCAATTTTCTCTTTCACAAGTAGTGCTTTTAGGTATATGAAAATAAGAAGATAAAATCCCTGACAATTGAGCGAGATAACTTTCTGTCTCATATGTAGTTCTTTTAACTTTTAAGTAGGGGTGGGATCGGGATGATCCCGATCCCGATTGCCCAAATCCCGATCCCGTCCCGATCCCGATTCAAACTAAAAGAGGATCCCGTATCCCGTCCCGATTAAGTCGGGATCCCGACATTAAAATCCCGATTAAGTCGGGATCCCGATCGGGAATCCCGCTTAATCCCGCTAAATCCCGACAATGAAGTATCAAACATAAAATTATGTAATTTCTTTAGTTAAACACTAACTTTGATATTTAGTGGTTTCAATATTATTCTTTGTTTACTGTTATACCATATTTATCATCATCTACTTATAAAAATTATTGTAATAATTATCATCTCAAACTCACACTAGTATATACTTTTAGAATAATTTTTATGTGTAACTTCAATTAATTAATAGTATAATTTTTGAATAAGCTATCAAGGCTCAGTGAAACTTACTTCAAACAATATATAAAAAACACTAAAAGAAGGATATGTAACGTATATTATTTAAAATTCAAAACTAAGTAGACTCATTGAGAAACTTTGTGACCAATGAATATAATGTGTAAATACATATTATGATTATCTACTAAAGAAAGAAATCTTAGTCTCGATCATAATTTTTTAAACAGTTCATCAGAACCGCAAAATTTGTAATATTGTATGTTGTGATTTAGATTGTTGGGATCAAGAATAATCTCTACTTAGTTAGGATCCCGAATATTCATTTTCGAACAAATGCCGAATAGTTTTAGAAGTTTGATATTGTAAGATAATCATAGTAAAAGATTAATCTATGTAAGGAATAAGTAATTAAAAAAGATGTGCAAATATTTAGATACATATTCATTTTTTATATATTCATATATAATTATATACATGTGTGTGTGTGTGTGTGTGTGTGTGTATATATATATATATATATATATATATATATATATATATATATATATATATATAGGGGAAAGATCACGTACAAAGTGTGCTTATTGTGCAAATATTTGTACGATGCACCTTGACGTTATTTGCATTGCATATTGAGGTTCAAAGTATTGCACATTATAAAGTCATAAAAATAACAGTTGCACATTAAGGTGCAACGAGTTGCACCCTAAAAAGTTGGGTTTTATTACAAAAATGCCACCTTGCCTTTATGTCCTTTGGATCAACTCATCGGACGGTCAAGATGAGTTTGTACTTTGCAAATTAAGAAGGCTTTGTATTTGATCTCTATTATATATATATATAAATATATATATATATATATATATATATATATATATATATATATATATATATATATAATGAATCCCGACATCCCGACTTTTTAAAAAAAAAAAATCCCGGTCCCGTCCCGACTTAGTCGGGATCGGGAAAAATTCCCGACTAGTCGGGATCGGGAATGTCGGGATCGGGATTTTCGGGATCGGGATTGTCGGGATCGGGATCGGGAGTCGGGAGTTTTTTCCCAGCCCTACTTTTAAGTATGATAATCTGGCTAACAATTAAGCGGGAAAGTTTACTCTCCCATATGTAGTGCTTTTAGGTATACGAAGATCAACCGGCTAACAATTGAGGGGATAATTGTTTCTCTCATAAGTAGTGCTTTTAGGTATAAGAAGATAAGTTTACTAATAATTGAGGGGAAGAATTTTCTTTCTCATATATTGTGTTTTTAGGTTTTAGAAGATAAGTGTGCTTACAATTGAGCGGAGGATTCTCTCATATATGTAGTGTCTTTAAGTACTACATATAAGATAAGCCAGCTGACTAACAATTGAGTAGAAGAACCATGTCTCAAATTTAGTTCTTTTAGATAAAAGATAAATCAACTAACAATTTAGCAGGATAATTTTTTCATTCATATGTTGGCACTACTTTAACCAATGAGTATCAAGTTTTTATTTAAGTAATATCGTTAACTTTTTAATATTTATTGTATTCACTTAATGTCACTCACTTATTGTACTCAATTTTTTAGAATAGTATGTAATTTTATAATTAACTTAAAAATGAAAATTAATAAGTAGCAAATTCTAATGAGTGGTGTCAAATAATTTTCCCTAGCTAATATATACTACCTCCGTTCTCTTTTAGTTGCAACATTGGACTTTTTGCACTATTCACATGTTCTACTTTGACTACATTTTATTAATTGATGTATAATAAATTAAATTTTTAAAAAATATTTTTAAATTCTTCTTATTCTAAATTTTCAAAATATGTTTTTTTAAATTTTTTTACTAATAAGGAATGAACGATATTAATGGTCAAACTTGTGTGTTGGCAAACGTGAAATGTTGATTGTTGCAATTAAAAAGGAACGGAGGAAGTATATATATATATATATATATATATATATATATA